CCCATGGTTGCAGCCACTGCGTCACTCTGTCACCCTGAGGGGCTTCTCCTTTGCCCCGGCCTGCTGCTTTGCCCAGCATGATCTGTCTCCTGACCACATGTCCAAATCGCATGAGGTGACGTCTCATCAGGCTCTGACTGCACTTCCCCCAAGGCAGGCTCATTAGCTGTGCTGGCCGCCCGTGAGAGCGCCGGGTTTCCTCGCCAACGCTGGGATCCAGAGGCATCGGTTCTTCTTGTCTTTCTGCCCTTCATTGTCCAACTCGCACTTGCCTTTGAGGCAAACGGGTGAAGCACGCTTTTGTCTGCAACGCGACATCTCTGTTCTGTCATTCTGAAGGGCTCCTGCGCAGTAGATTGCTTTGCTCTTCTGGCAGCCCGGGTACTGTCCGTAGTCACCAGCACCACATTCCAGAGGCATCGCTGCTGCTTCAGTCTTCCTTAGTCCACGCCCAACTTCCACGTGTGCATATGAGGCCGTGGAGAATACCGCGGCCTGGGTCAGGCGCACCTTAGTCCTCAAACTAGCGTCCTGGCTCGCCAACACTGTAAGGAGGTCTTGTGCAGCAGATTGACCCGGTACAATGCGTCCTTTGATCTCTTGTCAGCTGGCTTCCTGGGCTTTGATTGTCGATCCAAGCAAGACAAAAGCAAGACAAGCAAGACAACTCCAGTATTTCCTCCATTGATCATGATGTTACCTGCTGGTCCAGTGATGAAAACTTTGGCTCTTCCTTACAGTGAGTCGTCACCCACACTGAAGGCTGCGCTCCTTGACTTCATCAGCCAGGGCTTCAAGTCCTCCTCACTTTCAGCGAGCAAGGTGGTGTCATCTGCACACCGCAGGTTGTCAGTAGGCCTTCCTCCAGTCCTGTGTGTGTCAGGGTTGTATCTTCTCGCCATACTTATTTAACCCATATGCTGAGCAAACCATCCGAGAGGCTGGGCCAGGTGAGGGAGAACGCAGTCTCTGGACTGGGGGAGCAGCCATGCTGCAGCCTGTGAAAGAGAATGTCACAAATGGGACTTTGGATACTTGGGGGCTGTGCAAACACTTGTGCCCACTGTGTAGAAGGCTCCCCACGGAGCTGCTGTGCGGCCCTCAGTGTGGCAGCTCCCGCCAGGGACCTCTTGGTTGATGGCTCCACTGGATCTCCCCAGCTGTTGCCCTGCTGAGCCAGCAAAGTCCAGCTCACAGTGAGAGCCTGCCCATGGAGGGCATGATGAAGGCCAAGAGGGCTGAAGACACCGGAGCCAGGGCTGGGAGGGCACCTGCTTCCCCATGGACACCCACGGGACCATGCCAGACAACCCGTGGGGACTGCAGAGGACTTCTTTAAGTGGTTACAAGCAGAGGTGGCACTTTTCGGACTACGATGCACCTGACCCAACAAGCCGTGTGTGTCAGGCTGGGTTGTCGAGAGAAACAAAAGCAGAGACACTCAGACGGGTCTAAGAAAAACTGTACGTCGAGAAGTCATCTCATAGCAAGAAGGCATCCCAGCCAGACCGACTCAAGGCCATCAGTCCAAGGCGAGCCGGCCAGGGCCCTCTCTAGACTCACGGCGCTGCAGCTGATGGCGCAGAAAGGTGAAGCAGGAAGCAGGGATCACAGGCCCCGAGGTCGGTGGAAACATGGCAGGAAGCTGGCGGCTCTCAAGGCCAGTGGCCTGGTTCTGCCACCGGAGATACACAGAGTCCCAGAAAGGATGATGGTGAAGGGCAAGAGAGAGAGAGAAGCTCCCAGCTTCTCCCTTGCAAGAAGACCACACACCCCTCCGTCCCCCGAGGAGGCATCCTCGGGCTGAGACCTGATGGCCAGGCTGCATTCCACCCCCACAGCTCCACACAAAGCCAGGTTGACATAAAACCCAACTGCCACACCATGTTGTTTTCCGTCGCGTTCGTTACCTGGCTCTGAAAGCCGGGACATAAATGGAGCAGAATGGATGCGTTTGAATGACAGTGTGGGCCAAGACTCTGGAAAGCTCTAGTGCAGACTGTCGGGAAAGCACACAGGTCTGTCTGTCTCGGAAGAATCACAGCGGGGATGCTCCTCAGAAGTGAGGACTGTGAGACTTCACCACACACGTTGGACACACCGCGCGGGGACAGTCCTTGGAGAAGGCCAGCACCCTGGTAAAGTGGAAGACGCATGGAGAGCAGTGGGTTAACCCAGTGGGTGCCACAATGAGGTCATAGCACCAACTGTGAGGGGTGCAGAATAGGGCAGCGTTTCGTTCTGCTGGCCTCCGGGTCACTGCTGTGCGATGGCACCACCCTGAGGGCATCTAACGACAACACAGACCCACCAAGCCGAGGGAGCCCACGGGGACGGGGTGGGGGCTAGGCCTCCACCACTGCAGACTAAGTGGCTTCTGGGCAGCCGGGCAGAAGGGGGACACTGACCTCAAACAAAGGTCCCGGCACTCAGATACCTGGTGCCCCCGCCCACAGACACGTTTGCTTGGATGTTGCCCACACAGCCCTGTTCACTCACTCACTGCCATCGAGACAATGCCGACTCACAGGGACCCCACTAGGACAGAGTGGGGGTGCCCCTGTGGGTCCCCAAGACGTGACTCTTTACGGGAGTCGAAAGCTGCCACTCTTCCTCCCACACAAGTGCAGCTGGTGATTCTGATCTCCTGACCGTGCAGTTGGCGGCCCGCTCCTTCCCCTGCTCTGCCTCGGGGCTCCTGTGTATAATAGACTCAGAGGACGTAGAGATCTAAACCTCTATTCATAATATACAGCGATGTTGCTTTAGAAGTTACTTTAAAGGTTGTTTTGGTTGTTTGCCTGGAGGAGCCAGACGAGGTGACCGGTGGGGTCTCTAGCACGCTGACATGAGCACAGTCCTGCAGGGCAGGCTCAGATAGGAAGACAGCCTGTTACAGAAATCATCACTTCTCTTCAGCACATAGGCGGGGATCTGTGGGCTAAGCGTCTCTTGGGGCACCAGCCATGTTGGAGTGCGGAAAGAGACCGTTTGAAAGAAGCAGGGATTTGCTGAACTTTCACAATCATTTTCTGGTTTATTAGATTGCTTGTATCTTGAATTGCTTGTCTGTTTCAGGTTTAGGATTCCTAAAGGATTTTCTTTTTTTAGATCCTGAATGCTCTGGGAATTAGTTGCTGGGTGCCAGTCTCATATAATTTCTGAACCCAGTGTTTTAAGTGACCTTGGAGAGAATGCATTTGGTGAAGGGTCCAGGAGCATCGGGGGAAGAGGGGGAACAGAGGGAGTGGGGGCATGGTGGCATGCTCAGTGCCTTCCAATCCCCACCCCCCTAGGGTTCTCAGTCCTCCAAGTCACAGCCACGGATGAGGACAGTGGCCTCAATGGGGAGCTGATCTACCGAATAGAAGCAGGGGCTCAGGACCGCTTCCATATCCACCCGGCCACCGGGGTCATCCGAGTGGGCAATGTCACCATCGACAGGGAGGAGCAAGAATCCTACAGGCTAACAGTGGTGGCCACCGACCGGGGCACGGCCCCTCTCTCGGGCACGGCCATCATCACCATCCTCATCGATGACATCAATGACTCCCGCCCCGAGTTCCTCAACCCCATCCAGACGGTGAGCGTGCTGGAGTCGGCTGAGCCAGGCACCGTCATTGCCAACGTCACCGCCATCGACCGTGACCTCAACCCCAAGCTGGAGTACCACATCATTGGCATTGTCGCCAAGGATGACACCGACCGCCTGGTCCCGGACCAGGAGGACGCCTTTGCTGTGAATATCAACACAGGTACAAGGGCTGGCTGCCCCCTGCCCTCAGCCCTGGTTCCCTGGTTACTCCTTGCTACTCCCTGGTTACTCCCTGCCCTCCAAGGTACCTTGCTCTCTGCTTTCTTTTCTTCCCAGCCTTCTTTCTGGCTTTCTCCCTCTGCTTCTCCCCTCCCACCGATGGTTACTCTCTGCCCCCTTATTGACACCCAGCCTTCCCTCTCTCTTCCCATCACCCTTGCTCTTCCTTCTCTGCTTCTTCCTCTCTCTCGGGCCCTGACCAGCGTCTTCTCTCCGCGCTGGCCCTCTTCCGCCACCAGGATTGTAAGGCAGTGCCCGTACCACTGCAGTCTTGCCAGCATTAAATAGGACACGTTGGTGGGGATTGGCACTGCAGGAGAGAGTGGTAGCTGATTTGAATAACTAGCTACCTTGAGTACTTTCCTCATTTGCATGCTGCCCTTTTAAATCCCCACAAGGCACAGCTGCACCGCAAGGATGTTCTTACCCCCTCGTGCAGCAGAGAGCTGGTGACTTCTCCTTCACAATTTACACAACTGATCTCATGAGGGTTTGAGGACGGCTTTCCTTTTGTCTTCAGTGGTTTTGCTCCTCTGGAGAAGATTCTGGAAGGGACATGGGACCTTCCAGGAAGACTTCTCGGGAGGCCCAGGAATGAAAGAAAACCTAACACAGCTATGAAAAAAATTACTTAAAATCCTTGGTGATTAGAGGAATGCATAAGAAATGACCTACCGGTGTTCCGTCTGTAATTAGTAGACAAGAGCATGCTAGACACAGCAGGGACTGCCCTCCATGACCACGCCACCATCTGGACAGCGGCAGTGTAGCAAAAAGTGCACCCATGCGCTACGTACGTATGGCCCAGCAGCCCCGGAGTTTATGCCCCAGAGAACATCTCAGGCCAGCAGCGAGGCGCCACCGGGGTGCTCGCTGCAATGTTATTGGCAGTGGTGAGTTGGAGAGCACCCTCGTCTGAGGATCCTGGTGAGCACAATGGTGTGGGTGCAGCAAACGACAGCCAGAGAAAACCGGTCAGATGTGCATGGCGCAACATGGGTGGACCCTCTGTGGTGGGCACCTCCTGAAAGGAGTGAGAAACCGCGTGAGATACACACTATCATACTATTTCTGTAAACATGACATGGATACACACACACACACACACACACACACTTTGTAGGAATGCGTTCAGATGGGAAATACTTCAATGCATGGCAGTCGTTTTAGGAAGGGCGAAGAGAAAGGGTCGATGCATTCATCAGACCACAAAAGCACCCATGATCAGTGTGCAATCAGCCAAGGGGGGGTGTGTGTGACTCACCCCCTTGGTGCCTAAGACCCGGGGTGGGGGGGGAACCTCCCAGCATGGTGGTTGATGGCTGCTTGCAAGCCCATTCTGCCTCACAGCAGCCTGTGTGCAACAGAGGAAACACTGCCTGGTCCTGCCACTGTGCTCACAATTGTTACATTTGAACCCGTTTCCGAGTCGCCCCGCCAATACATTTCATCAAAGGCCTTTCTATTTTCACTGACCCCCTGCTTCCCCAACGGGCGTCCTTCTTCAGGGGCTGGTCTCCCAGATAGCATGTACGCGGGCAAAATCTCACCGTCCTCACTTCCAAGGAGTGTCGACCCGCCCTTCTCGGTTATTCGGCTGGCAGGTAGTCCGTGGTAGATTCAGTATCCTTCACCAACACCACAATTCAGAGGCATCCAATCTTCTCTTGCCCTCCTTATTCACTGTCCGACTTTTTGCACTTGGCATATGAGACCATTAAAAATATCGTGGCTTGGGTCCGGCACCCCTTAGGAAGTCCAGTTAAAAAAAAAAAGCAAACCAAACGTACAGCCACCGAGTCAATTCTGACTCATAGCGACCGTACAGGAGAGCGTGGACCTGCCCCCGTGGGTTTCCAACTCTGGGTAGAAAGCCTCACCCTTCTCCCAGAAGGAGCGACATCCCTGGGTTGGGCTTGTTCAGAACCTTGGAGAGCTGCTCCGCTCGCTAGAGACTTGTTGCTCCACCTCCACTGTGCTCTTTCCTCCTCTCCCCCTTTAACTGACTCGCTTTCCTCTATTTTTCTTCCCAGTGTTTTCTCTGCTCCCTCTTCCTCGCTCTCTCCTTCCCCCCTCCCTTTCCTTTCGTGCTAGAGCCTCAGCCCCATGTGTCCTCTGACTGAGCCCCACTTGCTCCCTGCGCTCCCTTCCCCTCTGCCTCTCCCCCACAGCCCCCTGCTCTCACCTCTTCCTCTCACACCTCCTTCCCTGGCCTCCTTCCCCAAGACCCCCCCCCCCCATCCCCACTGCTCCCTGAACTAACTGGTGTTAACCTCTTCTCTCTTCTCCTGGCTGGCAGGCCCGCAGGTTTGAGCTCTGTTTCTCTGTCACTTCCCACCTCATCTCCTCTCTGCTTCACCCCATTGCCTCCCTCCATGCCCCCCACCACCACCCCTTCCGTCCTGTGGGGCCCGGGCCAGGTCGGGGCCCAGCCTTTGCAGACTGAATGCAGCTGCCCTCTCCCCATCCTCGCTCCCCCGCCTGGGGGACAGGGAGCGAGAGTAGGAAGAGGAGGAGGAGGAGGAGGCCCAGGGTAAGTGACCACTCTGTGGATGGGGACCTCGGAAGACAGAAGCCCAGCAGGAAGGGGGGGGGGCGGTTCTGCCAAGAGGAAGGGAATCCCAGAAGCCCCTGCCCATGGAAGGGAGCTGCTGAGGGAAAGGGTGTGTTGCTCTAGGAGGGGGTCACTATGAGGAGCGACAGGCAGGAAAAGGGGTTCCAGCACAGCCTGTGGGAGGTCAGCCTAATGAGGTCTGTCCACTCCGAGCCCCGAGCTTTGGGAGGGTCCCTTTCTGCTTCTGCATGGAGCAGGCTGGGGCTCTGGGTGGCAACAGGCAAGAGAGAAAGAAGCAAGCCCTTGCTAGCACAAACTGCTCTTGACCAAGACCAAGGGGTCCGCCGCCTGGGACTCCCGGCCTGCCCCTGGCTGCCCCCATGCCTCTCAGCTCCCCCAGACCTCCTTGAGTTCTGGAGCCCACCAACCACACACATTTTTGAACCCAGTAATTCATGCCAGAGTTCACTGTGTGCCAGGTGCCCGTGCAGTCACCTCACGAATGCAAGCTCACAAACGTTTTCCGAATCCACCACACAGCCCTACGGATGCCATAATCACGCCCATGCTACAAATGAGGAACGAGGTTGAATGACCTGCCCAAGGCCGCCTGCGCTCCAGTGTTGAGCCTGGGGCAGTGATGGGCCCCAGCTTACAGGCGGCTGGGAGGCCATCCAGTCCAAGCTGAGACCAGCACGTCCCAGGGCCCACAAGGGCCCTTGTTCTCTAGGGGGGTGGGAGGCATGGCCAGGAGCACCCCCCACCAGGCCCAGCCTTTAAGAGACTCCCCTCAGGCTGAACCTGAGCTGGCCGGTCAACAGGGTCTGTAATGGTGAAGTCCCCACTGAACCGGGAGCTGGTTGCCACCTACGAGGTCACTGTCTCCGTGATTGACAATGCCAGCGACCTTCCGGAGCGAGCCGTCAGTGTGCCCAATGGTAAGCTTCCCCTGCAGGCATGTGCCCTTGGGTCCTGAGAGCCAACGGGCAGAGGGTGGGTCAGAAACAGATCTGGAGGTGGGAGTGGGGGGGGTATCCCACACAGGTGCCCGGGCTGCCGGTAGGCCACACTAGGTCCACGGGGTGGGACGTGGGCAGCGGCCAGCGAGTCTCAGTGGGGCTGGTGGAGCTGAGCACCCAATTGTTCGGTGAGCTCACTGGGTGAATCTGGAAGCCCGGAATTGGCTCAGCAGTGGAAAAGGGGGGACTTGGTGGAGCCAAATGGGGGGTTAAAAGAGGCTGAGCCAGCACAAGGAAGAAGAGGCCGAGTGAGAGCGTCCGTAAAGACCCGCAGCCTCGGAAGCCCTCTGCAGGCTCCCTAGCAGCGGGCCGATTTTAGTTTGGGCTCAACAGAGGCTTAGGCTGTCATCAGTGAGCAGAGGCAGGAAGCTCGGAAGCTACAAGAGGTGCAGAGACATCACAGCCACAGCAGGGGGAGGAGGGGCTGCGTCAGCCCCAGGGTAGTGAGGAGAGGGGCACGGCGAGGCCCTCTGCAGGGACAGGTCACCCTGCCTGCACCCTGCGGCACCAGCTGGGATGGGGGTGGGACTTGGGAGAGTCAGCCGGACACAATGGCTTTTTATGGTCCCAGCCCAGAGACCCGGAGGACACCTCCTCTATGTCCCAAGCACAAAAGAGCCAAGGGCTGAGGCTGGCTGTGTAGAGGGGAGCTTTCACAGGAGGGGTCTCCATGACCATCCAGGCCCACCTCCCAGAACAGGTCAGGAACCTCAGGCCCAGTGAGGGTCAGGGCCTTCACCGAGGTTGGTTGGTCAGTCAGTAGGACCCAGGCCCCTTCCCTTATGGAGGCGTGTGTGACCGGAAGCAGAGGACCACAGTCTGAGGGGGATGTCAAGTGCCAGGGAGTCCCTGCAGGGCTGTGAGGTGTGCCACCTGCTCCCGGCGTGGCTGAGGCTCTGCAGCGCCTGAGCCAGCCCCACCAGAGCCCCTGCGTACCTTCACCCCAGCCAGGCTGACGGTCAGCATCCTGGACGTCAATGACAACACGCCCCAGTTCAAGCCCTTCGGGATCACCCACTACACAGAGCGGGTCTTGGAGGGGGCCACCCCGGGCACCACACTCATTGCCGTGGCCGCCGTGGACCCTGACAAAGGCCTGAATGGGCTCATCACCTACAGCCTGCTTGACATCACGCCCCCGGGCTCCGTGCAGCTGGAAGACCCCTCCTCCGGTAGGTTGGAATCCACCAGAGGAGGGCTGCCTGCTGCGCATCCTCCACTTGGCTCCCCCCGCCCCCCAACCCCCGTCCCTTCAGGAGCCCAATTCAGATCCAAGATGGCCAGTCTCACTCACCCCCAGATGCCCACCCGAGAGGAGAGGACCGTATGCCCGCTCCTGGGTGGATGGAAAGCCCTGAGGTCTGCTGGGAGCCTGGGATACTACCCCTGACCCCATCCACCAACCCCAGCTCTCCTGATTAGTAGCAGTGAGGGGTCACCTAGCAGAGGAGGTTCACCCAACTGGCTTGTGGAAAGGTCCCCAAGTAAGGAGAACCACTGGACACTGGTCCCCCTCGGCTCTCTGGCCCGCCACTGTACAGAGCCGTCTAGCTGCCCTTCTTCAAGAGGCCACACGTGGCCCTTGGAGCTCTAGATCCTTCTCTGCAGAGGGCAGGGAGCTCCCATGAGTAGGGAGTGGCTGGGCTGCCAGCGGGTGCCTCTGTCTCAGGGAAGGTCATTGCCAACCGCACGGTGGACTATGAGGAGGTGCACTGGTTCAACTTCACCGTGAGGGCTTCTGACAACGGGTCGCCTCCCCGGGCAGCTGAGATCCCGGTCTTCCTGGAGATTGTAGACATCAATGACAACAACCCCATCTTCGACCATCCCTCCTACCAGGTGAGGGACCAGGCCATCCGGGTTAAGCCCACCCTGCCCAGTTCTAAGACCTCTGGGAATGACCAACCAGCCCCTGGGCCCTCTGCATCGGGCCTGAGAGATCCGGAGACAAGGCAGCAACGCTGGGACTGACCTTGACCTACTCTCTCTCCCCACCCCCACCCACCCCACCCACCCCCGGCTCCAGGAAGCCATCTTTGAGGATGTGCCTGTGGGCACCGTCATTCTCACAGTCTCCGCCACCGATGCCGACTCGGGCAACTTTGCACTCATCGAGTACAGTCTCGGGGACGGCGAGGGCAAGTTTGCCATCAACCCCACCACGGTAAGGGGGCACAGCCAGGGGAGGGCAGGGAGGGTTCAGGGTCAAAGGAGACACCACCCAAGGTCATTGCATCCAACGCCCTGTTTCTGGTCCTGCCGCCTCGGAGGGTTTTAGGCAGCAGAGCCTGTTCCCAGAGCCCCAGACAGGCCCAGGAAGGAGCAAGAGTCATTTGAAACTAGCCCTCGTCGGGCACAAAGACTTGAGTGTCCCCGTCCAGGCTGAAGGGCTTGACTCAGGCTTGGCTTTCCAGGTCAGCTGTTGAGACTGTCACAGGCCACCTCTGGCAAGAGGTGGGCATGTGCTGGAGCATCTGCTGTGTGCAAGGCGGGCATCCAGTGCCAGCGGGGTTGCGAGAGGCACCCCCAAGCTGCTGTGAGGTCCAGTCTTGTAGCGGAAGAGATGAGGGAGGATATCAAAGGTCAACTAGGTGGCTCAACGCTATCAATTTTCAGAGGAGAGGGCTCAACCTGTGGCCCGGGGGTGGTTGGTCAGACAGTACACGCCCCCTCCCACTGGTCTGCCCTCACACTCTTGCTCCGCCCTATGGCCTGGCACTAGGAGCGAGGACCATGTAGGGTGGGCCTTGGTCTGGAGGTCAGTGCCAGGCAAGGCTGTCATGGCTTGTGGGGGCCAGGAGAGCCACTGGCATGGGAGCTCTTGGGGGACAGGGGTTCTCATCTCTCTGTTGACACGGACTCCCCAGCGCCTAGAGCAGGGCCCGATACATAGGAGACGCCCAGCAACTCTCTGAATAAAGGGCCTGAAGCCACCCCCCCACCCCACCCCCATTAGGGTGACATCTATGTACTGTCCTCACTGGACCGGGAGAAGAAGGACCACTACATCCTGACCGCCTTGGCCAAAGACAACCCTGGGGATGCAGCCAGCAACCGTCGAGAAAACTCGGTGCAGGTGAGGGGCCTGGGTCCGCTGGCCCCGGCCAGGGACACTAGGGATTGGGCTGGTAGAGGCAGCGAGCCAGGCTTTGAGGAAGGGCTGCTGCATCGTGGAAGCACAGCCCCCCAGACCCCTCAGAGGCAGAGAGGCCGGAAGGAGGAGGCAGGGGGTTAGCTGAATGCACTCCCATGGCTGTGGCGGAAGAAGACGGGCTTCTCCGAGACTGACAATCTCTGGTGCCAAACTCCTGCTAAGGCAGCTAAGCCCGCCCTAGTGCCACTCAGATCCAGCTGGTGTCTCCTCCGTGTCACCGTGCAGGAAGCAGAGTCCACTCGCTCCCCACTTCTATCAGAACCCCAAGCCTTGAGGATTCGCGTTCTCTTTATCCCCACCCCCACCCCCCAACCTTGTCCCTTCTCCAGTCTGTCACCCCCGCACCCCACCCCCATAGCCGCCTCTCACGTCCTGGAGGAGGGGAGGAGGGAGGAGCTGACTCAGCAGAGATCAGTTCTCCTCAGCAGGGAGCGTGAACCAGCCGGGGCCACCCAGTAGGACCAGGGTTATTTGAGTCTTGTCCCTGTCACAAACGAGGGCCTTCGAAAAGCCCTGGATGTGGACTGGAAAGACTAAGGTCCCACCGGCTGAGGACGCTGCATTTGTCACTTAAGTTCCCTCGGCCTCAGCTGCCGGTTCTGCAAGGGGGCCATCGGTGCTTCCTGGTGGCACAGTGGTTACACGCTGGGAGGCTAACTGCAAGGGTGACCACTAGAAACCACCAGGCACACCTCGGGAGAAACACGGGGGCTTTCTACTCCCATGGAATTACAGTCTTGCACGCTCACAGGGCCAGTTCGACCCTGTCTTACAGGGTCGCTGTGCATCTTGGCTTGATGGCAGTAAGTTCGGCTGGGTTTAGGAGGGAAGAGCAAGAGGATAGAGTAAGAAGGGGCAGCCTCTGGGGACAGCTCTCTCTCCTCTCCGCCCAGGTGGTGATCCAGGTGCTGGATGTCAATGACTGCCGGCCCCAGTTCTCCAGGCCCCAGTTCAGCACCAGCGTGTACGAGAACGAGCCCGCAGGGACCTCCGTCATCACCATGCTGGCCACCGACCAGGATGAGGGCTCTAACGCAGAATTGGCCTACTCGCTGGAAGGCCCTGGTGCCGGTACGTAGCTGGTCTTGGACCCCCAGGATGGCCTTTGGGGCTGGGCAGGGGCAGACTGCCATGCATGCTTGCTGCCCAGGCCAGGAAGAGAAGGGGTGAGCTGAGTAGCCAGCGCCATGCCCTTCCTCTCTTGCCCACCTGCCAGAGGCCTTCCACGTGGAAACGGACTCAGGCCTGGTGACCACCAAGCGACCACTGCAGTCCTACGAGAGGTTCAACCTGACGGTGGTGGCCACAGATGGTGGCGTGCCCCCTCTCTGGGGCACCACCATGCTCCTGGTGGAGGTCATCGACGTCAATGACAACCGCCCCGTCTTTGTACGCCCACCAAACGGCACCATCCTACACATTAGAGAGGTACGGCCGCCACCAGGGCCCCAGGCCTGGGCCGCTTTCCAATGTCCAACCCCCTTCTTCGTCCTTCAGGCATGGCCCTGGGGGAGTGGCAGGGCCCTCCTTAGTGAAGGTGGGGAAACAGAGGCCAAAGAAGAGACCAGACATGCCTGGTACCACGCACGGCAAGCCTGGACAGTCGCTAAGAGCGTGGGCATGCCTCTAAAAGATGTGGTTGGAGTCCAGCTTGCCAGCCCAATGAATGGCCTTGAGCCAATGACGTCTCTCAGTCTGTTTTTCCATCCGCCAAACAGGAATGCTATTAATAGGAGATGCCCTGGCCCTTGTCCCCAGGTGTCTGCCAAGGACGGTCTCAACAGTCACCACTTCCCCCAAACTTGTCTCAAACTCAACACACAAGCCCTGTCTGTCTGTCTGTTGTGCTGATGACAGCATGCAGACAGCCTGGGGGCGGGCGCATCAGAATAAGAAACAGGAAGTGGCCAGGGATGGAGCCTCTCCAATTCTTCCTCCAGTCTCTGGTCTAAACGACCAGTTAAGACGGGGGGCACACTCTCCTGCTCTTCCCTTCTTTTGCCCCAAATGCTCCTTGGTGGTGCAGTGGGGTGTCTCCACTCGTTCGTGCCCCCACCCCCAGACTGCTGCAGCTCTCCGCATCAGAGAACGTCAGCCCTAAATCGCCTTGTCATGCTCTGCCCCCCTGTGAGGTCCCATGAGAGGCATTCTCCCAGCTGAGCTCCAGGAGATGCAGTGCGTCCCCTGGCATCTCTGCAGCCCCTGGGTGGCCCTCTTTGCGTTGCCAGCCAGGGAGCTCCAACCGGAGTGATCCTGCAAGGACTTCAAGCGTACCCTTCGCCTCCCACCGCTCAGCCTCCAGCTCCCTGATAACTCCACACCCCTCTTTTTCCCCCTTTCCCTGGGGTTTGTACCATGTTTATTCTTCCTATAACTGGTACTTTCTTAGAAGCTATTTCAAACCATTTTTGTGTGAAATGAGACAGGATATAACGTAATGATCATCTAGCTCTTTTCCACTCCAAAGGCGGCCACACTCACTAAGTTATTGCCCTGGATGTCACCCAAACAGCCAGAATTTGTTAAGTGGTTATCTGTGCGGCGTCATACTTTCTACGAATTAGATGTCACCGATTGTTAGGACCAATGAGATACACCATGAAACCAGGCCAAGCTGATAGTTCAACTAAAGACAAGAAACTGGTCTTCTCTCTCTCTCTTTCTGGCCCCCTGCCAGATTGGTTTCGATATGATTTCTGTACATCTTAGACCTATGGGATTTCAGGAGATGAGACTCAGAGGTGAAGTGGCCTGTCCAGGTCACATGGTGAATTAGGGACAGACCAGAACCCACGCATGTCATCTCAGCCACACTTGGGATACTGGGTGTCCCTGTGCCTGGGGTAGCAGAGAGGGCAGCCTCAGCATGCACTAAGGTTGGGGGCACAGGGGAATGGCCCAGGGAAGGTGGTCCCCTAGAAGCATGCTGAGGCCCCCCATGCACTGTCAGGGGGCCTGCGTCTTGGGGGAGGGGAAGCTGGCAGCTGCTCAGCCAACAAGAGCCCAGGCAAGGCGCCCGCAGGTCCTGAGCCCGCTGGCTGGGTGACTAGGCCTTTCTGCTAAGGGAGAAAGGGCAGGTGGCCACGGGGGCCCCGGCGCCTCGCGCGCCATCCTGTCTCCGTCCCCGCAGGAGATTCCGCTGCGCTCCAACGTGTACGAGGTCTTCGCCACTGACGAGGATGAAGGCCTCAACGGGGCGGTGCGCTACAGCTTCCTGAAGACGGCGGGCAACCGCGACTGGGAGTTCTTCACCATCGACCCCGTCAGCGGCCTCATCCAGACGGCCCGGCGCCTGGACCGCGAGCAGCAGGCCGTGTACAGCGTAAGGGACGGTCCTGGTGTGGGGGCGGGGCTTCCTCTCGGGGGGCGGGGCTCTACTTCCCCATAGCAGGGGTCTGAACCCCGGTGACTGCTCCCCCCACCCCGAGGGACCAAGGCAACAGGCTCTTCCTCCAACCCCCCAGTCCCCCACCCCATCATGTCTCACCCTTCCCCCCTGCCTGCACTCCACCCTCAGCTCATCCTGGTGGCCAGCGACTTGGGCCAGCCGGTGCCCTACGAGACCATGCAGCCGCTGCAGGTGGCCCTGGAGGACATCGACGACAACGAGCCCCTCTTCGTGAGGCCCCCAGTAAGCTGTTTCCTCCCCGCAGTGGCCCCCTACGCACCTCTCTGCACACGCGTACCCTGCCCACATGTCATAGGGGAGCAAAGGGTTTTCTCGAGAGCGGCTACTAGTTCTAGACGCAGGGGAGCAGACAGGTCCTGGATTCTGAGAACAGGCTTTCATGTACTTGCATGCAAACAAGCAAGCTGACACCACGCCCACTGCCACCGGCTGACGATCCTACAGGACAGAGGAGAGCTGCTCCTTCGGGTTTCTGAGCCTGTCCGTCTTCAGGGGAGCAGACAGCACTGTCTCTCCCCAGACTGATTGGTGGTGTCCCACGGCCATCTGTTCAGCCAGCGGCTTAATAACACTCCACCCCACGGCACCAGAGTAGCTGTGCTCTCTTGGGCCTGGGCTGGAAGGACTTCAGACTGCTGGGCTCAGGGGCTGCTTGGTTTATCTTCCTGTGTGCCCTGTGATGTGATGTTTGTTCTTGGGTGATTCTGTGCCAGCCTGTCACTGCCCAGGCTAAGCATCCACTCCTCTGCCCCACTCTGGCCCAGGTGCCAGGGATACATCTGAGGACATGTTGAGCTCAGCCCTGTCCTTGTGGAAGATGTCACTAGGCGACCCGCCCTGGGGACAACTGGCATCTCGCAGCCTTTGCCCTTGGCTCTCTTTGCCCCACAGAGCCCAAACACAGTCATAATCCAGGGCCCTGGGCAGGGATGGCAGCCCCTTCTTCTCTTCTGGTGACAATGCCCCCCTCCCCTCCTACTGGTGACAATGCCCCCCTCCCCTCCTACAGAAAGGCAGCCCCCAGTACCAGCTGCTGATGGTCCCCGAGCACTCACCACGCGGCACCCTCGTGGGCAACGTGACAGGTGCTGTGGACGCAGACGAGGGCCCCAATGCCATTGTGTACTACTTCATCGCAGGTGGGCCTGCCCTGAGGGTTAGTGCTGGACTCTTAGGGGCTAGAGGCGGCCTCCATGGGCCCCATCCGGCCCTGACCTTTCCGGCCCTGGCCCCACCCACCCACAGCCGGCAACGAAGAGAAGAACTTCCACCTGCTGCCTGACGGGCGGCTGCTGGTGCTGCGGGACCTGGACCGGGAGCGGGAGGCTGCCTTCTCCTTCATTGTGAAGGCCTCCAGCAACCGCAGCTGGACTCCACCCCGAGGGCCCTCGCTGGCCCTCGTCGACCCGCTGGCCGACCTCACGCTGCAGGAGGTGCGCGTGGTGCTGGAGGACATCAATGACCAGCCTCCGCGCTTCACCAAGTCTGAGTACACTGCAGGTACGCCTGGGTCTGGGCACCCACAGGGAGGAGCGACCCCCGACCTGCCACTCACGTCTCCCTGCCTGTGCCTGCAGGAGTGGCCACCGACGCCAAGATGGGCTCAGAGCTGATCCAGGTGCTGGCCCTGGACGCAGACATCGGCAACAACAGCCTGGTGTTCTACAGCATCCTGGCCATCCACTACTTCCAGGCCTTCGCCAACGACTCGGAAGATGTGGGCCAGGTCTTTACCATGGGTCAGTGCCTAGCCACACGTGGCAGTCCCTAGCCAGGACCTCAGGCACGGCATGCACGGTAGTCCCGGGAAGAGAGGCGGTCTGTGAGCACCACAGGGTCTGTGTGTGTCGTGTCCATCTGCCAAAGCTAGCTAGTCATTATTTATTCGTCCACTTACTCTTCCTTCCATCCACTACTCAGCCACCCAACCCATGTTCAGACCTTCTAGTCCCGTCTACTCTCTGATGTAGCCACCCATCCATCGTGGCATCTGCCCACCGGTCTTCCTTCCTTCCTTCTCTTCACCCATTATCTGTCCATCTCTGCCCATCATTCTTCCACTTAGCTACCCCCTCATCCATCTTCCCATGCATGCCCCTCTGGCCTGCCCCCTCACCTCCACTCAGAATAGGCAGTGTGCAAGCCCTGGGAAGCCAGGCCTCCAAATGTGCCGCCGTATGTGAGGATGTGTGAATGCTTGAGTCTTGAACACGTCCCCACTCGTGTTACAGGAGCAGTCAGACTCTTTGGTCTGGGCATTCAAGGCCTCCTCTAACCCCTCTTTCCAACTCTACATGCTTCCCCTACTAATAATATCAGACACAGACCTTGTGCCCAGCCTAGTCCTGCTGCTCAGCTCTACACTGCCCTCCCTTCTTGGAATGCCATCCCCACTCCAGCCTCTACCTTCTGACAGCCCTTTCCATCCTTTGAAATCCAGTTCTCAGGCCACCTCCTCTAGGAAGGCTTCTCTGATCACGCAGCAGCCCCTCTCCCTGCGTCTTGAGCATCTGCTGCTCTCGGTTCCATAGAACAAGGCACAGATGCTGGATTGCGTGCTGAAGGCCACTCACCGCTAGAAAGTTTCAGGTCTTGAACCCAGGCCTACTGTCCTCTAAGAAAAGACCATGTGGGACCACTTCTGGTTACCACTCTACTGTGGTTGGCGAATTTGTGCACACAGGCTCCAGCCTGACCACAGCACAGCCCCTGGGTCTGGAGCAGGGGAGGCCCTGGACCACCCACCACCCCGACCTGCCTCCAGCCACCACAGAAGTTTGCTGCACCTGTGAAGTTGTTAAACAAAAACTCAGTGGTTCAAAACCAAGCGATTTTGCATAAAGATATCAACGTCTGGTTTCTCTCCCCCAAAAAATCACAAGGTCTGGCACTACTGTGAGACAGCTGGTCACAGCCCCTGTCCTCGTTGCTCCATGCTGGCCGGCACATTTTCGCCCAACAGGCCCATGACGCAGCCCTTTACCACACCCCTGGCTCCTGAGCCGGCCCGCCCTTGGGTTCTTCCCACAGGGAGTGTGGACGGGATCCTGCGCACCTTTGACCTCTTCATGGCCTACAGCCCTGGCTACTTCGTGGTGGACATCGTGGCCAGGGACCTGGCGGGCCACAACGACACAGCCATCATCGGCATCTACATCCTGAGGGACGACCAGCGTGTCAAGATCGTCATTAACGAGATCCCTGACCGAGTGCGTGGCTTTGAAGAGGAGTTCATCCGCCTGTTGTCTAACATCACTGGTGCCATCGTCAACACTGACGATGTCCAGGTGCCCGTGGGGCCCTCCTAGCCCAGTGGAGGGGACGGTGGCGGGGCCAGGACATTGCAGTGAGGTCAGGGAAGCATGTGTGCGTGCTAGGTGTACTTCCTGTGTGATCTCTAGAAAGTTCTTCTCATCTGGGCCTGTTTCCTCACCTGTCATATGGACTGGCCCGGGTGCAAGGAAAGGGATTGGCACCATGCTTGGCCTGCAGTGAGCATTCCGTAGAGACGGGTGTATTATGAGGGTGGGGTGGCAGGGGTACCTAGAAGAGGCCTGCCTCCGCCCCTGCCCTGTTCATACTGCAGTGCCCAGTCCACAACGCCCCTTCTCACCTAGTTCCACGTGGACAAGAAGGGGCGGGTGAACTTCGCACAAACAGAGCTGCTCATCCACGTGGTGAACCGGGACACCAACCGCATCCTGGATGTGGACAGGTGGGTGGAGCCCTACCTGGCGGCAGGAGCAGGGACCCAGAAGGGGCATAGACAGCACCATCCACCAGAGGACCTGCCACATGGGGCTCCACCCTGGGGGGCGGGGGGCGGCGGCAGGGACATGATCTGAGCTCTGCTCATCTTGAGCTTTACTTTCCCCATCCGTGAACTGGAAGCACTGTAGCAATGCAAGGACTGCCCTGTAAGACCCAAAGCGGCCCGAGCAGAGGACTTTTAGTCTTCCAGGGGTGTGCCGGGTGTGGACATGGGGCCCGCCAGTGGGGGTGGACTGGGACCGGGCAGAAGCTGCTGGAAGCCCGGGGCACGGGGAGGGAAGCTGAGGCCCCGCCTCCCATCCAGGGTTATCCAGATGATTGACGAGAACAAGGAGCAGCTGCGGAACCTCTTCCGGAACTACAACGTGCTGGACGTGCAGCCGGCCATCTCGGCCCGGCTGCCCGATGACATGTCCGCGCTGCAGGTAGCCCGGGTGGCCCCTGGCGGCTGTCGCTGCGTGCAGAGGGGCCCCTGACGCTCACGCCAGCCCCTCCCTCCCCAGATGGCCATCATCGTGCTGGCCACCCTCCTCTGCGTGGCCGCCCTGCTCTTCATCCTCATGAACTGGTACTACAGGACCATGTGCGTGCTCCGCCCCCACCCCCGCCCCCGCCCCCACCCCGAGGGCGGGGCCCGGCACGCCCTGCAGAGGCCGCCCAGCCCCTCACCGCCCTGTCTCTGCTCCCCCAGACACAAGCGGAAGCTCAAGGCCATCGTCGCAGGCTCGGCAGGTGAGCCCTGTCAAAGGAGCCGAGGGCGGGTGGGCAGGGGCACCCAGGCTGGGCCTGGCCTACCCCCCGGCCTTCTCCCTGCAGGGAGTCGAGGTTTCATCGACATCATGGACATGCCCAACACCAATAAGTACTCCTTCGACGGGTGAGCGGTCCTGTGCACCTGGGGAAACTACAGCTGGCTGGAGAAGTGGGCACCCCTGGTGGACCAGCTGCCATTCTCACCCACTCTCTGAACTGCGCTGGGCCCCCTGTTCTTGACCCAACCCCCATCGGGGCGGGGGCCATAGCCCAGGCGGATACACCACCGCAGTTGACCAGGACAAGGGGGGGGCCGGGATGGGGGGCGATCCATTCCCTCAGGCTGCCCCCACCCCCTCACAGGGCCAACCCCGTGTGGCTGGATCCTTTCTGCCGGAACCTGGAGCTGGCTGCCCAGGCGGAGCAGGAGGACGACCTGCCGGAGAACCTGAGTGAGGTGGCGGACCTGTGGAACAGCCCCACCCGCACACACGTGAGCCGGCAGGGAGGGGCAGCCTGGCTCCTGGGGGCGGGGTGGGGGGGGTGCCTCTGCTCCAGCGACTGCGCCCTGCCCCCAGGGCACGTTTGGGCGTGAGCCAGCGGCTGTCAAGCCTGCAGATGACCGCTACCTGCGCGCTGCCCTCCAGGAGTACGAGGACATCGCCAAGCTGGGCCAGGTCATCCGGGAGGGGCCCATCAAGGTGAGGCTGCCCAGTGGGCGCTGCACCCCGCTCAGACCGAGCCCCAAAGAATGTGAGGACCAGGGTGCCTGGAAAAGTGTGTGTGTGTGTGTGTGTCTGTCTGTACCTGTACGCGTGGGTTACCACCCCCCCTCCCCGACACACAGGCTGAGGATTCTGGGCCGGTGCAGCTGTGGCAACCTCGGCCAGGATCTTGTGAGCCCACCCGGGTCCCAGCTGACACACCCTTGGGTCCCGTGTGCCCCACTCTCCTCCTTCCACCGCCTCCATCCAGGTGCTGGAGTGAGGGTGGGCAGCGCGGGGAGGGGCCCGGTGGAGGGTTAGTTAACCCTCTCGCTCCCCCAGGGCTCGCTGCTGAAGGTGGTCCTGGAGGATTACCTGCGGCTCAAAAAGCTCTTTGCACAACGGATGGTGCAGAAAGCCTCCTCGTGCCACTCCTCCACCTCCGAGGTAGTGAGGCGGCGGGGCGGGGCGGCGGGCTGTGTGCCGTGCCCCAGCCCTGGGGGTGCTCACCGGCTCTCCTGCCTGCTGCTCCTGTAAGCGTCTCGGAGACCCCTTGCCAAGGCTGCCGTGGCAGGCTCTACTTTCTGGGCTCTTGTGTGTTTGGGGGGGAGGGGGCACTGCTGCTTGGATGTGAGCCGCCCCCAAGATCCCTCGGAGGGGTGACGTCTGCCTGAAATGGCCCTCACAGCCATGCTCAGTGGCCCGAAGGAGTCGGGAAGCCCAGCTCTCTTGCCAGGCCACTCCCACCTGGGCAACAGCACCCTGCAAGCCCCTCCAGCTTCACCTGTGGACCCTCCCCGCCGGCCCCCAGGTCAAGATGGGCACAAGCCCAGACACAGCCGCACCGCGGAGGGTCCTCGACAGGACGAGAGCACGTTAGCACCATTAGTACTAGCAGACCCCTGCCCTGTCTGAGAAGCGGGAGGGCCTGCTTCCAGGGCACGGGGGCCCCTCGTGTGGGGAGCGGCAGGAGCACGGGCCCTGGCAGTGGGCCTGGCCCTGGCGGTGCCTGAGGCTCGGCCACGGCTTTCCGCAGCTGATCCAGACGGAAGTGGAGTCGTCATCGGGGGCCTGCAGCCCGGACCAGGGCAGCCTGCGGTTCCGCCACAAGCCGCCCGTGGAGTTCAAGGGCGCAGACGGGATCCACGGGGTGCACGGCAGCACCGGCACGCTGCTGCCCACCGACCTCAACAGCCTGCCCGAGGACGACCAGAAGGGCCTGGGCCGCTCGCTGGAGACGCTGACGGCCGCCGAGGCCAGCGCCTTCGAGCGCAATGCCCGCACCGAGTCCGCCAAGTCCACGCCCCTGCACAGGCTGCGCGACGTGATCATGGAGAGCCCCCTGGAGGTCACGGAGCTGTGAGCCCTGCCCGGCCGGCTCGGCCCATCGCCACCTTCATAAGATTGGTTATTTTTTTAAGAAAACAACAAAACCGGAAGTGTCTGTGGACACGAGGTAAAGGAGGATTCCGGTGGGGGCCCTGGTTGGGTTGAAGGGCCAAGCTGGCACCCTGCCACCCCAGTGGACGGACATCTCGTCTCACGCAGGCAGGAGGGAGCCCTGCTTCCCGCACCACAGAGAGGGCAGCCTCTGTTGCATCGGCAGCCCCCACACGTGAGCGACTCCTGTTCCCGGGGTTTTGAATGTTGTGTTCCCGTGCATTCCTGTTTTCAATTAAGTTATTCCCGACGTCACCCCTTCGCTCTGTCTACCTGGTACTCGGTGCAAGTGTTTGGAATGGTGTTTCAAAAGAAAAACGACTCACGAGGAACCAGCAATACTCTGGCTCTGGTCACTCTGCGGGCCGGGCTGGGGGCAGGGGCGGGGACCAGGCAGGGGCAATTGGGAGGTTGTTACCCTTAGGCTGGGTCTCTCTCGAACAAGCAGATGGGATGTCGTTGACCAAGGGGCTTCGCAGAGCTGCCAGCCACTGAGGGGGCCAAGGCCGTTAGACACGGGAACCCGCACCCTTCTGGTGGAGGCCCCAGAAACACGCAGGCCAGGTCTGGTTGAGAGAACTTTATTGGTAAGTCACAGAAACTTTAGTGCAAAACAAACACGACTCCTTAGGTCCATGGACTAGCAACACTCCATCTTCCTGGCAGCAGACGCAGGAAAGACACTACAGCGGAGCAGGAGGCCGAGCCTGGGGTGGCACCCATGCCACACTGGGCTACCTCCACCAGGAAGCCAAGGGGCGGCATCTCATTTGCATTGACATAAAAGAAAGGTCAAAAGAAGCAGCTAAGACAGGTATGCTGTGGCTGCTCGAAGCAGCAGCAGCAGCGCCGGGGAGCCAGAAAGTAGGGATGGGGCAGCGCCACCTTCACCACCCACAGCACTGTCACAAGGGGCTAGAGACCCCCACCCCCCACCCAGACCCACAGAACACCCCACAATGAACAGACAGGGAACCCGCCCCAGGGTCAGCCAGCCAGGGCCCCACCCACTTCCCATGAGCCACTAGCAGCCTCTCCAAATCCAAGAAGCGCATGTGCTCCTCCACAGGGAATGCCTTGGCTCGGCCTCCCTGCACAGCAGCCCGGGTGGAGGCCAACCCCACCAGTGTCCGGGCACCTGTGCAGGCTCAGAGCAAGGCCCCAGCCGGCCACAGAGGGTGGACGGCCACTGGCCGGGAAGCACCGGCTCAGGCCAGCACACCCCGCAGCCACACCCAGAAGCAAGGATGGGCTCAAAGAGCCCCCAGGCACAGTCTATGTCCCTGTCCAGCAGAGGAAAGGGACACAGAGGTACGAGGGCAGGGCAGCCCCCCCCACCCCCCCGACAGTAATGTTACAACCAAGGACTTGAGAAGCAGAACCCGTTGTTAAACCGCTGTCCGCAGCCGTGCGTTCTTGAGTGGAGGACGCTGCGCTCTCTGGGCAGAGGCTCCCTCTAGTTCCACACGTGGCGCTTGCAGTGCTCCACAGCCTGGGGCAGGGAAGTGGTCCCCTCGTCAGTGACAGACCCCATCCCGCCCCTCCACGCCAACAAGAGCACGGCTGAAACCTGCGGACTTGGGGCCGCCGGGGTGTGGGGCTCCTCAGACACAGTAGATTTCAAAGCTTTTCCGTACTTTGCCCCTCTGAGCAGGTGGCCCAAGCCCTACCATCTAGTTTGGATGTCCTGCCAGGGAGGCTGCTGAGGACCCCAGAGGCCAAGCCCACCGCCACAGAGGTGACTCGGGCACATAGCGACCCTACGTAGGGGGTTCAGAGGCTGCAAGCCTCCAAGGAAGCAGAGACAGGTTCATCTTTTTCCCTCTGGGACGGCTGGCTTTGGCCCGCCTACCAGGTAGGCAGCCCACGGCTCCTACACCCTAGCTCAGCCTTGCAACATTCCTCCCACAGGAGACCAGCAGAAGCCAGGGCCACCACTGACCATGCTGGGGCACAGCGGGAAGGAGCTGGGCCTGTCCTGGGTGTTGGCCTCTCCGCCCCTCCCTGCATTCCCCAAGCCCTGAGGCAGGTGATACAGCTCTGCCCCTAATACCTAGGGGCACACTCACCGGGCCCCAGTCAGCAACCTCAGGAAAGCTGCCAAAAGTAAGCCTGGGCAAACCTCTGCCTTCCCAAGCCTGCTGGTTTGGCGCAGGCCACTTGCAGGGAGCTCTGGGACGCAGCCCCAGGCACGCTCCAAACAGGGCAGATGCACCCAGCAGGCAAAAGGGCTGGTGCACGGACCCAGCAGTGAGTCCAACTGTCCCCGAGCCTCATGCAAACCTGACGCAAGGGACAGGAGCACGGAAGCCAGTATTTCCCCAGCCCACATTCCCCAGAGCCAACAGTCCCGTCCCTGAGGCCTCTCAGGCAGGCGGCCAGGAGGAAGCTGCTTCCTAGCCCAGCCCAGCATTCCCCTCAGTACAGAGGGAGGGCAGGGAGCCGTGCGCAGACTTCTGGGCTTCTAGCAAAGGAAGGGTCAGGAAGGCAGGACGGGGAGCGCACAGGGCTGCCTGTTCGCAGACAGGCTGGGGGGCCACGTGGTGTGACTTACGTTGCACTGGGAGGCAGTCTCCATGTTCTGGCACCAGTAGCTCGGGCCCCAGACACATTTTTCGGTGCCCAAAAGAGGCTTGTGGGCTGTGGGGCAGGCTCCCACCTTCTATATGAAAGGGGGCAAGATGATGATTAGACGCTCCCACTTAATCCTTTCCAAACCTCTAAGAGTGGGCAGACTGGGGGCTCTGACGTACACTTAATCATAGACTCGGGGTATAAACAAAGCAGTGGGCCCAGAGCCCTGTTTCTCCACCTTCTCAGCCCCACTCCTGACCCCCCAACCGGCCAGCCTGGCTTACCGTGCACACGAGGGCGGGGTCCATCACCTCCACTAGGATCTCAATCAGCACAGGCTCGTACTGGGCCACAAACTGATCACACTGTCAGAGAAACAGGGGATGGGCCGGGCATGCTCTCCCCCGAGGTCCCTCCCCAACTGGCTCCCACTTTCCCCCACTGGAGTCAGCAGATTCCCTCCTTGACTCCATATCAGAGACGGAACGGGCTGGTTTCCCGGGGCTGGGGGTGGGAGGGCACCCCTGACTGGGCCTGTAGGCACACCTGATTCTGGTAAGGCTCTGGCAGGAAGCTACAGCCCTTCTGCAGTGCAGCCAGGATCTCCTGCTTTGTACTGTTCTTCTCCAGGTTTTTGTCCAAGTAGTTTACCAGCTTCTTGCACACCTCACAGAAGCCCCCATCCTTCAAATGAGTCACGTGGGCTATAGATGAACACGAAACCTCAGATTTAGTGCTGACAGGGTCCTTTCTCAGGCCTGGGGGTGTGAGTGGTTGTCCCACCCTCCCAGCCTAAGGGGCTCACCGGTCATGGCTGGCAGCCTTTTGTTGGAGCAGAGGTGGAGCAAGCTGCATACCAGCTCAGGACTGGCCTCCTGCAGGATGGACAGGATGGAGGAGCCGTAGGTGTCCACTAGCTCTTGGCACTCTTCGGACATGGAGGTGGGCAGCTTGGAGCACACACTATCCAAAGCATGGAGTATCTCTTTCTGGAAGACAAGAGAGCATCCTGTGAGAAGCTGGAGGCTCAGCAGGGGTGGGAGACAGTCTGCGCACACTAGCCAGGAAGGGAGCCAACAGCTGGGAGGCGGCATGATGGGTGACAGTAGTGGAAGTCCCCTTTCACTCCCCAGTTAAATCCTCCCCTCCACCCCCCGGGCAGTGAATGCACACAGTAGAGACTGGGTCAGATTGCTCTAGAGAGAAGGGCAGGGCAGGGCAGGCCCAGAAGCTGAGAGGACCCTGCCCGCTAACATCAGGGCACACGCTCACTGCAGACCTTTGGGATGGGCAAAGCTGTGGAAGCTGGATTTCCTTTAGCAAGGAAATAAAGCTCACTGCCACAGAGTCGATTCCAAACCACAGCAACCCTACAGGACAAGCAGAACTGCCCGTGGGATTCTGAGGCGGTAAATCTTTACAGGAACAGAAACAAAGCCTTGGTCCCTCCAATCAAGTGGCTGCTAGATCCAACTGCTGACGGTGTGGCTAGGCCCAATATGCAGCCCCTACGGTACAAAGTGTCAGTATCACACAACTGAGAGGGGAGGAGGGAGGGCCATGGTGCTGAAGGCAGCAAGTAGGGGCACAGACACAGAAGGGCCACCACAGGGGAGTGGGCAGAGCACCCATTAGGGAAACAGAGAACCACCTTCTCCCATTACTAGAAAGGGCAGCCCCGCTGCTTATGCCAGCATCCGTGAAGGCCAAAATCCTACTCCCAGGAATGCATACCGAATCCCCAAACTCCCAAATCGGCACTTGAAACACAAACGCTGAAGCTAAGGATAAGAGCGCCCTCTTGTGGCACTCAGGAGAAGACACAGAGCATGGGGCTGCTGGGCCGTTCTGAAATGCTGCCTGTGGGGATCCTGAGTTGTCCAGGGCTTTGGGGAGATGGGCCGCTGCACCTGCAACTGGGACGTGCAGGCCTGGCCAAGGCATCAAATTTTTAAAAATTCACATACACACAAAACTTAGGGTTAAAAAAGACAAACCAAGGAGAGCAAAAACGAGCCGGGTCCAGAAAGAGAGAGTCTTCATTGAGGAGGAGATCTCCCTCGTGGAGGCTAGAGTAAGACAAGACTTTCGGGATGGACCATGGTGATAAGTATGTTTAAAGAAAGCCAGCAGTACACTGAAAACCAGCCAGGGAGAGGCAGGGAACACGTGCAGAACAGAGAATACAGCAACACGGGAACCACCGGGGTGGAAGAACCCAACAAGAGGGTTAGCTAAAGCAACCGAAATGCTCACGAGAGAGCTGAACAGGCTTAAGGAAGAATAAAAAGGAAAACGCTAGAAGATAAATGAACAGAATTTACCGAGCCTCAAGAGAAACGGGAGGGGGGGATAAAGAAAGGGGTGCAAACCCAGCAGGAACCTGGGCTTCCACAGTTAAGCGCGCCAACAGTACCGTGCACAGCAAGAGCTCTGGGGCTACAGATCCTAGACTCCCTCAGTACCAGCCAAGCACGCAAACAGGAGGCGCTACCTGACACCCAGTTCCAAGGGAGACCAGAGCGAGCACAGCTCCGTCCACAGCCCAGCAAACTGCTTCGAAACCAAAGACGAGAGAGCATGTGGAGACCAGCAGAAGGAAACGCTGGGTAACAGACCAACGGCTTTCCTACGAACACTGGGCACCTCTGCCCAGAAACGATGGAGCAACATTTATACAGATGAAAGCAAGTCAGTGCCACCCAAGCATGCTCTGCTCAGCAGAGCTGTTGTTCAAGTGAGGGGACTCGAGTCAGACACTCCCAGAGGGACCTCGAAAAATTCGCCACCATCGGCTCCGCGAGGAGGACTCAAAAGGACACTCCAAATGGAGAGTACAGAACACTGGGCAAGACTCGTTTCTACACAGCAGGAGGGAACATGGAGAGAGAGCAAGCGCTAGCAAGTGCACATGGTCAATCACAAAGGCCACGTAGGTGCTGTCAGGGACTAAGCTCCGCATGCAGTAAATCATGCAAACACTCCAACTTCGATTTTGTGAGTAAGTGCAAAGTAAGCGTGCTCATTATACAGAAACAGGGCTGAGAAGAAGTATCAGGAGTAGATTAGCAGTTCAGGTTGTATGGTCATTGTTGCTCCTATGTTTAAATCATATTACATGTTTTAAGTTACATGAGACAACGTGCGTAACAACTGATAAATCACCAAGAAGCTTCCCCAACAGAGGATAACCACTAAGAAATCAAAAAGCAGCACAGAAGAAAAGGAAACAAAAAGGGCTCATCACAAGAAAGCAGCCCACAGGGATCTGGGACAGGGGGACTGTCACGACGGACGCAAATCCCCTAGGGCAGCTTGCCTGGCCTTATCCACCGGGACCCGGGGAGCTACATGACCGCAGCCACCACCCCAGAGCTCAGGCTGGGCCCCCGCAGCTGCTCCTGGGTGCACTGGGAAGGCGCAGCTTCTTAGTAAAAACAAACAAACGCTAAACGGGACAGTAGAGCACAGAAGGCTCCCCAAGATTACCAGCCTTAGACACTCTTTCAACGGAGAACCGAGACACCCTGAGATCACCTTTCGAGAAAATAGCAGGGTGGCGGCACACAAGATAAAGGCGATTACCCCTAAGACCAGTGCACTCTGTCCAATGGGAGCCGAATTTGCTGTAAGCCTTCACCCAAAATTCTAGGAGTTGATTTAAATGAACAAAGCTGGGAAATGGTGGTACATATGCCAAATAGTTGTCCAACACCAGCAAGGGTCAAGGGTCAAGGCTCCCAGGTCCCCCACTGGACGTCTGGCTCAAGGCCAGGCGAGGAACAGCCTGTAAGGAGGGCAGTCCAGTCCACGTACCTCAGTTCTGTTGTTGTCCATGAGCTTGACCACCTCCTTCACCACATACTCGCACACTTCGCAGTAGACCTTGGCCTTCTCCGGGGCCAGCTCCTCCTGTGGGAGGTTCCAAGAACGCGTCAGGGTGGAGAACTCACTCCTGGGCCCTGTCCCCCTGAAGGACAAGGGACACAGAAGGCAGCAATCCCCTAAGAACCCCCCACGTGATTCTCTGTTCAGGGATAATCCTTCAGCATTCATCGGGGGTGGGGTGGGGGGTACTGAGATTAGAGTGAGAAACTCTACCGCTATTTAAGAGACAAGAGTTCAAATAGATTTTTCAGCACTGCTCTTGGGTTTCCCAAGTCTCGTTAGCATGTGAGCGTGTTTCTCTAGCACTGTTCAGTAGCCCTCCAGTCCCTACCTGCGCTGTCCAACACGGAGCCGCCAGTCACCTGTGTACAGCAGCACACAAACATGGGCTAGCCTAACTAAAGGAATTAACTTCTCATTTTAGTTTGAACAGTCGCACGTGGCTCGTGGCTACCACTCTGTGCAAACTCTAGGTGTAATTTGGTTCTGACCCTTCACAGTGCTGACCATGAATCAGGCCAGCGTGAAGGATCTGGGTAAGCGAGCCCCTCAAATGGCGAGGGAAAAAGTGGCAGGGCATCCCACCCTAGCCCTTCCGCAGAGAGCTGCTGAGTGAAAGGTGAATTTCTGGGACAAGCACATACAGGTGACATGTTAGCAAGCGCCTGGGCCCTGAGGAACTGGGAGTTCCGTGATCGCAAGAGCATCTTTTGGTTCAGCACCGTGGTCTCAACCCCTAAAGCTACGCTCAGCCCACGGGATGCAGCGGTACAAATGCAGGCTGGAAGAAGTACAATTTTCCCCAAGTCAAGGGAAACAAAACATCTACACCCACACACAGAGGGGTGTGCTGGGAAAGTCGAGGCCACAGGGGGAGGCACGTGAACTTGAATGCTGCAGACACTATCAAAGCCTCCTGAGTGGCGTGCTGCACAATGGAGGCTCGAGCCCACGGGCAAGGGAGTGACAAAATTTGGAAGAGCTCTGGGGGCTGCCGTGGGATGGGGGCAGCCAGAGCTGCAGCCTGGAGCACAGACGCCTTTAGGAGGGGGCAGGAGACCAGACCCAGGCGGTGAGACGTGAGGAAGACACACGGTGTGACACCTGGTACCTTCATGGGCTTCACCAGTTCCAGGGCAGGGATGATGTTCTCCGCGGCCACCTTAGCAGGAACCAGAGTCTGCATGGGCACCTGTTGCACCTTGTCACAGAATCCCGCCAGCTCACAGATGTCCCTGGGTTGCTGGGGAGAGCACGTGTACTGTCAGGAGCAGGCCTGGGCCCCACCTCCCCTTGCTCTCCAAAGGGGCGGGGCTCCATCCCCAGCAGACAGGCAAGTGCCAGTTACATGTGGAGGGTGGAGCCCAACTAGAACCACTGCCGCTGTTGCTCCAATCAGAGCAGCTAACCTCCCGGCACCTTTAATGGGCCACTGGAGCATCTTCAGGGCAGCTGGTCTATTGTCAAGGGGTTCTCAGGAGTAAGCTATCGCTCCTCTCAGGAGGGTGCCTCACCATCCCCAGAAACCAAGACAGAGGTAGGTCCAGGGCAAGCCCACTCCACGGATGTGTGTTAGGGGAAAAGACGACTGTGAAAACCACATTCGGCGTTCACAATCACACAGCACACGCAGAAACCCCGATTAGTGAGCCAGCGCAATTCTGCACCTCCCGGGCAACAAGTCAGAGGACGACAGGGTCTGGACACCACCTTGACCAGGACACTGTGAGGAGGACCGGGACGGCACAGTGCACACATGCTGTTCACTTTGCAAAGGGAAGACAACCAGCGCTGAGCTCTGGGGCTGAGGGCACTGGCCTCCCACCACCAAATCACGAAGCAGGCTCGCTAAAAAAGAGGCCTGTCGAGGGAAGAGAGCCAGGCCACGCTCTGTCCCTCTTGTTTTGTCAGCTAAAAGGCATGAGAATGAAATAAAACCTGGAAGTCTAAGAAGGTATCTCCCAAGTAACCCTGCCTTTGACAGGTCCACAGAATGGAGGGGGGCAGAGGGTGAGAAATAGGGTGGAAGATGCAGAGAAGAGTTTAGAGAAAAACACCCAGCATCAAGAGGCAGGTGGCTGCTGTTTCAGCATCGGCGTTGTTCGCCTTCAGAAGACACTCTTCTACGGAGGTCTAGGTGAAAATCGTGATGTTTTACCCACAGCTCCCTCCCTGGGGGTGTCCGCAGCCTAGAGCAGTCGGCAGTGCTCAGCATGGCCCCGAGCAAGAGCCGACTCCTGGGGCTCCATCAAGCGTTCACTGGACGGAGTAACTGGCAGGGTCAGTGTGAACTGCCTGCCAGCCTGGCTACCATGTGGTGTAGCTTGGCTGCTGATCCCAGAGACCACGCCATCACCAGAAGGGCAGAAGCCAGTCAAGAGATTGTTCCCAACGCTCTGGATCCACCAGGCGGGAGAGGCGCTCTGCGAGGGCTTGCTCATGCAGAAGCGTTTCTAAGAACAGGGCTATAGGCATGCAAAGCTCACTTGTCAAGACAGACACAAGGTGTCCTGCGGACATCAGGCTGCTCCTCAGGAAAGCCTAGCTCCCTCCGGGACCACCCATGGCTCCCCTGGCCACACAGGCAGCTGGGCTCAGCTCTGCTGGCTTAGTTGCCTGTCCCCTGGCTAGCAGGGGAGACACTCAGATTCCCCACAGAAGCCGAGGAAGACACCGGAGGGGAGGGGCCCTCCTCTCCTGACCATGCCTTGTGTCTGTCAGAGCCGACCATGCCAGACAAAACACGGCCCACACGAGAACTATGCAGCAGCAGCACCCCCCATCACCTACCTGATCCTGCTGGTGAGAACAAAGACAGGGAGTCGGGGGGAGACAGGGGAAGGAAAGGACACAACAGTTAAGAAAAATTAAAACGGCAGCAATCAAGCAGTCAACCAGGGACAGGGACGTCACAGAGTGGCTCGGGAAAAACCCCGGCAGCCAGGTGGTTGAGAACCACGTGCTCCCACTGCTGTGCGGACAAGGGCCCTGAAAGCGACCGTCCTGTCCCTCAAGTCCGATCAGCCAGGTCACACACAGAACACTGAGCAGCAGGCCCTCCCTGGAACCGCCCCTCTAGGGAGGGAGCTTCCTCCTCAGTGGCCTGCCCCAACCACCGCCGGGGCAGTGATGAGCACCAAAGGGGGGCACAGGGCTGCCCAGGCAAGGGCCACGATGATGCCCAGAGGGGTCCCCCACAGCTCTGGACCTCAAGCAACCCACCCCAAGGGGCTAAATGCCACCCAGCAAGTGCCATGTGGCCATCTCTCTAAAGCCTTCGCAGCTGGCTTATGCTGGACTCCGCAGCACTCACTGTCGTCGATGGACTGAGTCACACGGACCCCGGGGCAGTGGAACTGCCACCAGGGGCTGAGATTTCTCTACTACCCGGGACAAAACTCAGGGCCACACATTTGTATTTGCCTATAGGCTGTCCCTTTGTCCCAAGGGCACACAATCTGAGCATCAATCAACGAGGGCTGGCAACATCCATCAGGTCCATCCACTCTGCGAGTCTGATGCGGGCAGGCATTTACAAATAGGTTGGCAAAGGCTAGTGAGCAATGGTTTTAGATTCCCACCCATCCAGCGCCCCCCAAAGGAGGTACGAAACAAAGTAGTATCTGCCACGTGAAGGAGCCCTGGTAGCAGAGTGGGTTACACACTGGGCTGCTAACCGCAAGGTCAGCGGTTAGAAACGACCAGCGGATTCAAGGGAAGAGAGACAAGGTCTTCTAGCCCGTCTAGAAACCGGCAGGGCAGCTCCGCCCTGTCCTGTGGGGCGACGGGGAAGACCTGGTTCGATGGCAGAGCGTTTCAGCCCAGCTGCTACGTGACCCCGCTGATGTTTGTTTTAAAACAAAACACAAATGAGTAGTATTTGCTTTGGGAATTATTCTCCGTGTTTCAAAAAAGTTCTTGATAGTATAACTTTTATAATGAGTGTAACATCTTTAAGTTAGCTATTTGGAAACACTTAACAACATCAAGCCACTGCAAGAACTTATCTGGCACGTCTTTTAAGGCACCTTTACGTCTTTTGGACACACTTTATTCTAAAACCCTTCTTGTGCCTAACTGCAGTACTCCAGTGGTTAGACAGGGGTCACTACGCTTTTCTGTGAATACTTCAGGCTTTGTGCACCAGTGGTTTGGGGAACACCCATTCAACTATGCTAAATGAGCAGGTGTGGCTATGGGCCGAGAAAACCTGATCCACAGAACTGTGGCCACAGTTCTGCACTACTCTCTCTCTGGCGCTCAGACCACGAGAGCTCTTGGGAACTTTAGGGCCCCTGGTGGCCTAAGTCACAGGCTCAGGCCCAGGGCGTGCGCCTCTAAGATGAGTCCCTCGACCTCAGTGGAGCCGAGCGCTACAGGGAAGGCCTGCTCTGGACAGGGTTTACTGCCCGGGACTGGGTAGTACAGGAACAAGGACCACGGCCAAGACTTTCCGCCCGCTGGAGGCATCAGCTGCAGCGCAGGGGTTACCAGCTCAGGCAGTGACAGCACCTGAGGCTGCTGCAGTGCACAGGGCCAGCTCTAGGGGCAGCGCCTTCCCAGCACTCAGGCTTGCCAGAGACCACACAGCTTCCTCGGGCAGACTGACCGCAGATAGCAGAAGCCTAGGGTCAGCACAGACCATAGCAGAAAGCAGCCCCGACCGGCCTGCCCGCGCCCCCTCCCCGCTCCTTTGTCCTTTCCCCTGGCAAGGGGCCCACACCCAGGCTTCCAGAGAGGGCCTGCGAGCCAAAGGAGGCTTTTGGGGACCAAAGTCAGTGCCCTATGTCTGTGTTGCAAGGAGAAAGTAACCCCTATAATCTTCAAAATCCCTGGAAAATACCATTAGAGACACAGGATCACACTGAGCAGGGTTAGTCCCCTGCCACCTACCATGTGCATCACCAGCTGGACAGCGACTTCCGAATACTGGCTGATGTAGTTCTTGCACTGCGGGGAGAGAGAGACGGGCTGCTCTTCCAACTGACCCCAGCATGTGTGTGT